ACGGCTCTGACCAAGTGTCGAGGGAAGACATTCAGTACTCGAGCCAGTCATCATGCCAGACTTCGCGGATTCGAAAGGCCAAGGTAAGGTAATAGTACCTCGTGTAGGCTGCCAGTACTTTGCCCTTGCCGCCAGGATATTCCATCCTTCTTATTGAAGAGATTCGGTTCGTTTGCGTTTGCGTCGAGCGCCGTTGTTCGAGTAAGAGAAGGTTGCTACGCGAAGTGGGTAAGAGGCGCAACAAGAGGTTCCCTACCCATGGTAAGCGGTCAGGAGACTCGAAGCCTCCGCTCATACCTCTTACCACTCATTTGTACCGTTGCCCTTCTGGTCTTGAAGTCTTCGTTCCTCGACGCCTGGAGATGTTCTTCGATCATTTCTCTTCCTGGCCTAAGAATGTTGCCAGTATATCAGCCTCCCAGCTCCAGCGCTCGCAGCGCCTTTATACCCCCGGTCGTACGATGAGCATTCTCGATGGTTGTATGTTCCTCGGTCCTTGGCGTCTCGGTCTTGCCCTCAGCCAGCGTGTGAGCGATGCAGACTCCTACTGTATCGCTGCGATAGCCCCATAGCCATCTGCTACAACGGCCGTTGGCGCATCGCCGCAGATGCCTCGGGAGGTGGTTTCCGAGATCGGTCGTACGGTGTCCTGCTTCGTGGCTTCTCAATCCGTTCGAGGTGTGGTAGCGTACGGCTGGAGCGCGCATTGTGCGGAAAGAGCGCCCGACTTTTCTCAAGTCTTCGAGGAAGGGCCAGGGGTTAGGCCGTGCATGTCGAGCATCTGCTGTCACAACACTGTCAGTCTTCGTAAGCCTACGTCTTCATCAAAGTCCTCAACCCTGGGAATACGAGTTGAGTGCAGGCCCTTCCGAAGGCGCTCCGAGGCCCAAAGGTAACAGTCTCTCCTGCCTTACCTGGAGTGGGTGTGAATGTCCCTTGTCTTCCTCAGTCTCTGCCCTTGTCTGCCCCCAATCACCGCTAGAACGGCGTTGTACGCCCCTTGCTCCACTTGGAGACTCCCGCGGAGTGCGTTGTGGCGAATGCGGCCTTCCGGCAGTCTTGAGAAAGGAGCTCTTCGCACGGATGGTCATGTGCATTTGCTCTGTCTTTTGGCAATACTGTCCCACACCCCTGGTTGGAGCATGTGTATTGCAGTCGTCGTGTCTGAGAGGTGCGAACGAGGCCGCCAGGTGACGAGAGATACATATGATCGCGGGGATCTCGTTCGAGGGGTCATCGCCGCCGTCGCGAGCAGGGAGCATTGCAGGCTATCCAATAGTTCCCTGAAGGCTTGCGAGAGTCAGCGAAGGCTCGCGAGCTGAGCGCTTGACCATCGTGTGCCGTACCGAGTGGTGTTGAAAACTTGCCGCTGCGCCGGATGTCTACGATGGGCGCAGGCTGTATGAGCGATACCTCTGCTGCGACGAGGGTGTTGAGTACCGTTTACGCTTGCCTGCTCTACGTCACGAGGCTGCTCGAGGTGGTTGCCGGCTTGGTGGGTGTCTTGCTGGATGCTGCCCGGCGCTGCCGCCGCCCCGGAGGTCCGCAAGAGAGGCAGATTGAACATCTGCAATGCCGCTTCTATTTGCAGGCGCTGGATGCTAGATCTCCCCCGAGCAATAGTATGTCGCTCGAGTGCGCAAAGGTGGCGTGGTGGTGGTGTTGCTGCCGTCGAGGGGAGGCAGTATCAAGCCAAACTTGCGCCAAGGCTCACCACCGAGCCATATGAGACGCAGCACCACAACAAGCTGCACTGAGGGCGATTGGGATAGAACTCTCGTGGAATCGAGGTCCAATTCAGCTCAACGTTGGCGCAGGGTGATCTGGTCAAGGAGATGGGAGGGAGTCAAGCTTGTGGTCACGGAGAGGAGTCTCAAGCGGCAGAGCAGCCACCCCAACAAAGTCGAACATCAGACGAAGCATTACAATGCAGATCTGGTGCTCCCCGTCGCCTAGAGGTCCCCTGCAACCCTGTCGTCGCCCCGCCTTAGCGAATCGCCCACGTCGCCGCCCCAGAATCCAAAATGCCATTGGACCCACCCAATCTGAGGTTCTTGGGGTATATATATCAATTAAAACCTCTATCTTCCATCAAATCACACCGGGCGACCGTTCTCGGTATACAAAACGAACTGGCCCAGCGGTCTAGGATCTGGTTAAGGTACGTCCTGTGTTTCCTTGATCACATTGAGGTTCGGCAATTCGACAACGTGCGGTGGGTCGATCCCCCATGGGATCGGCTGGGTATTGGAGTTGGGCATCAGGTACGTCCTTGTTATTTCTTTTTGCCATTTGTTTTTTTTTGTTCCCCCGCATAGTATATTGTCCTATGTGCTCCAACCTCTTTTTGCCAGTTCTTCTGACTTAGAAATGTATGGTGGGTCGAGAGTTCACGCTGATTATAGGTATATTTGTTGCTGATTTGTCTCTTTTTGCCCTTTTTTGCGAGCTCTGTTACAACGCTCTCGCTTTAGTACACCGCTACAACCTTGACACGGCTATCCCTGGCAGCTAGAAGAGCTTTCTCGGGCTTCAGACGCACATCTTCTTGCTCATACTTTGCTCATAAGCATAGCGAGCTTCCTTGCTATCTACGAAAGAGTTTGCGCTGTTGTGGTGGGCTTTTACAGCTCATTTTACGGTATCGCGCACTCCCAACAACGCGTCCGCTACTCCCACTATTATGCGGCAAGCTGGCACAGCTGCTGTAATATCGTGAGAAGCAGAGGAGACTTGTCTGCGATGCACTGCGCGTAGGGATGCGACAGCATAGTGCGTTGACTGCAAAAGCCGCTCATTGAGTTCATGGGACACTCCCGCGGCGCGCGAGAGCTCCTGTTATCCCGATTGCCATCATCAACATCCGACAAAGCCTCCACTAGAGGGCGGAGAGAAGCGATATAGTATTCGCGAGCTTTGGTGCAAGAGGCAAGGATTTCAGGATTAAGATGAGCTTCGATATGGCTCGAAAAAATCTCTGTACATCTGGTGTTGTAGTCTATGGAAACAATATCAAGTCTGGGGGCTGGATGCGCGGCGTAAAACAAATGCACCTCCCTCTAGAAAAGCGGCTTGTTCGATGACACGATACATGCGAGCACCATAGATGAGCTGCCGTCTCCGAAGGCAAATCATATCTGGGTAAGTGGTTGTAGAAAAGCGCAGCAACGTACTTAGTATCCTTAGACAATCGCAAAGATTACATGCAATACCACAAAGTTATGCTGAACCAAGCTTCAAGATAAACTAATTACGTGAAGAAAGAAGGGGTATATTGCATAGCGCGTCCAATGAACCAAAATACTACTACTCAACAAATCCCCAGTCTTGAATCACCCCTTGCTACCTCCACCGCGCATCATACGACTCCAGCGCTTGAAGCGCATGCGCAAAAAAACCCTATATCCCTCGTCTCCTCGCCATCCCCACGCGACGTCAGCTCCTCTCTCCCGCGGCCAATGACCACTCCCGCAGTCGGACCGATTCACACACCCATCATGCACATGCAAGCCCCATGCGCGCCGGGACGCGCAAACCAAGTCCACTACATTGCGAAGCGCCATGTGCGGACTGATAGCGATGATGCGCTCTTCGTCATTGGGGTCGAGATGAGCGAGTTGGTGCAGTGGTACTGTATTAACAAGGTTTGTGATGAGAGCATTCTGGCGTTCTGGCGGTCTGATAGCGTGGTGGTAGTGCTGGTGGCGTCTTCTCCGTCATCACATGTCGAATTGTCTTCTAATCAGGACAACAGTACAGTAGGAGAGGGTAGAGGTTCAAGCCCGACGGCTTTTGCGACAGTACTTTTCTGTGAAGTCGGTTTCGAGGATGGCGTGTTCTGGGCTGGAGGGAGTGGGTGGTGAGAGATGGGCACATGTTTCTGGCATCTGTGTGTTGTTAGTCTTCGCCATTCTGCGTCCCTCGTCCGTGAACTTGAGGAGACCTACCGAGCAAGCTGAGTCCGAGCGCGGTCGAGGTTGCATGTGTGCCTGTGCTTCGAGGGCGCGCATTTCGTATGTATATGTTATGCGGAGGAGATCGTGGACTGTGAGGTGTGTGGTCGACATATTGAGGTTCGTTTGTTGATGGGATGGTGTCGCTATTCTTCTCTTTCTTGCAAGCTGTGGTTTCGACGTCGATGTTGATACTCAAAGTTGAAGTCGGTCCGGCGCTTTGTTTATATAATCCCCGTTCGTCCTATTACGCCTCTTTTCGCTGCTTGCTCACAAACACGTATGCTGTGATTGGTCCGCCGAGAGATGCTTAGGTACACAAAGTTCTAGATGTTGCTCGGACGAAGACTTGTACGCCTCCAAAGTTAACGAAGACCGTAGCAAGACTGTAATTTTAATGGTTGTGAGCTGAGGTGATTGAATGAGAAAAGAAGGAAGCGACAACGTCTAGGGAAGCTTTATATCAAGAACCGCCCCCTCACACCAACACCTCATGCACATGTTGTGCACACATCAGCTGGTGGCGCTAATGGTCAAACTGGACTAGTCTCACCCGCGACAGCGAACGAGATCCTCGGAGCCGACATGATGCAGCGGGCGGGGGTCTGTGCGCGTTCACTCTCGTTGGTGGGCATGAATAGCCGGGACATACGCTCATGTGTCCGACAGCAAAATCGCGGGTCGCGCTCTTTCGAAAGACCGATGTTGGCTGTTATACTGTTGCCTGGGAGTGTGAGACGAAGATGAGGCGGGTTGGAGATGCGGCTTTGATGGTTTCACCCGGGATGGCGCTGTTAACGCCGAGAGACCCGTGGACATGTCCGAGATCACCGAGTAAGCCCTAGAGAAGAGCCAAGGCAGCAATTTTGGAGACGGTACAAGAGTTCTGGATTTGAGGTGACGGGGCATTTGCATACACCAGAAGGACACGTTGAGGCGCTTCGAAGATGGACACGCTACCTTTGTGGATGCAGCCCGCTCCTCTTCCTTTCTCTTTCACTCCATCTACTGCTACCACTACTACTGCACCTACGCCTAAGCCCACGGTTACGTCGCCGTCTTCCTCCCCAACGCAATCAAGCGTCCCTGACCGTCAACAACAAAAACCTTCCCATCGCCAAACACAGGTCTTCCAAACTTCACCGCACCCTCCACCTTCGGGAGCGGCAGCTCAACCAACGTCCCATTAACCGGCACTGCCTTAAACGCTCTCAGTCCAGCCTGCACATCCGTGGCCCACACGATACCTGTGCCAGGCTGACCTTTGTTGCTGGTAACAGTCGGGAGACCAGCACCACCCCAGTGTCCGTTCATGTCGGAGGATTTGCCAGCGAAGCTGAAGAGCGAGGACGATGCGTTCGGAGTAAATGCGTACGCGGATAGAGCGGTATTGCCAGGGTTGACGTAGACATAACCGCCTTCTAGCGGATAAGATCCAATCGCACCAAAGACCTCGCCTTCTAGAGGAATAGTCTGCAGGATTCCATCCGTACCGTTTGTACCTTGCAGATACCCACCCAAGCTGTCAACTTCCGTTACATACATCTTCGGGTTCGTAGAGGTCGCTACACTGATTCTCTTCCCACTCTTAGTCTTGAAAACATTACCATCAAGTACGGCAAAACCCCCACTCCCAATATCCTGTCCAGAGTCCGTCTGCCAGTCTGACGGGCGGAAGAAATCCACAAGTTGAATCCCAGCACCACCAGCCTCATCAAGCGTAATACGCGCCACGGTTTCCGAAAGAACACCCAAAGACTCGTGGCCCTTCCTCGGCGTGACATCAAGCGTTGCAGCCGTCGACCCGCCGCCATTATCAATCGTGAAGAAGACGTCCTTGCCATCTGACGAGAGACCTGCGCCAGCCTGCCAAATGCCACCCGCGCCACCCCCATGCCACGCCGTCCAGTCGTCATTGTACAGACTCGCGTTTCCTGCTTGCGTAGTCCACGTATACGTATTCTGCGTTGCGAGATTAACAGCGACAACGCTTCCGGTGTAGTTGAACGCGTCGCACAGCCCGCCGAACCCCGCATACAGCACATCGCCCAGCAACAGCAGCGCAGGCCGCTGCAAGACCAGACCGCCGAGAAAAGTCTTGCGCATGTCGTTATCAGAGGGCTGGCCATCTATGATCATGGGGTATTTGTAGAGATCTTGCAAAGTGTCTAGGTATACGCCGTAGAGATAGTAAACGGAATTCAGAGGCGGATACGCGCCACCTGGCTGTCTATAGTCCTCGATGTAGCTTTTGACATAGAAAAATGCGATTTCGTTGCCGTCTTCGCGGTAGATGACTGGCGTGCCCATTATGCCTAATGTTTTGCTGACGTGCGTCGTGCAATACGCTTGGTCCATTGGCCATGGTGGAGCGACTTGGCGCTCGTTGAGTAGCTGCCCGGTCTCTGCGTCGAAGGTTCTGATGCGATTCTCGGTGGACGCGGTGAAGACGATTTGGCGGCCGGTGGAGGAAAGCGTGTGAACGAGAGGGCGCGCCCAATGCTGTGGTTGTGTTAATGATGGGTCAGAGGTGAGATGCAGCGAGGGCAATTTACTTTCTCGTCCGGGTTGAAAGTTGCGTTCCAGAGCTGTGTAAAATTTGGGAGGTCTGAGGGCTCGATGTTGTGATCGCCGCCGAGATAGGATGACTGGTAGATGTCGGAGTCTTGGGGCGAGTCAGAGGGTGAGCCTGTCCTTTGCGCCGTCGCAAACGTTACAGCGCTAGCTAGAGAGACGCAGAGCGCAAATGTGCACGTTAGTGAGCGCATCTTTGCCGTCGATACAAAGGATAACGAAATGTCGCGCGCATAATGCGGACGCTGCAAGACTTATGAATAGGATGTATGAAGATCGCTGGGCCTCGCGGAAAACAGATTGCATGCAGGCTATGACGATAGTATCTGGGGAATTTGATCGCTTTCAATCTAATGGTCGTGGCTCGTGGTCGGTACTTGGATCACGTAGATGCCGGGTATTCTCCGCAACTGGGTTGGCTATATCGTCTATATTAGTTTGTGGGGCAGAACGTCGAGCATCAACTGGGAACATCATGTAGATCATCGTGTTGATCTTTTTGGAAATTCTGTTGAAGAAAAATTAGATGTTCATTCTGATGCTAGTTGATATGATAACTGTTGATGGTGACGTCAGCGCAGCCCTGAATAAAGTTGACCTGCATAACTTACCTTTTGCGCCGCTTTTACTATGCCGCAAGGGGTTCCTCGAAACCCCCTCGTCATAGAAGGCTGGGCTGCCTTTCTCTATTGTTCCCGTTGCGGGCTGGGCTGTCTAGACTGTTCCACGCTAGGAACTTGGTCTTCCACCCGCTGCAACAGCGGTACGCGTTCCGCTTCTACGGCATCACCTCCCTCAGCATCGGGATAGTACATCTTCTTCCACTCGCCCTTACCCACTTTGCCAACCCTCCATGTTCCTTGCTCACCCGCCTCTTTGAAGAAGTCCATGTTCTCGTCGAATGTCCTGCCACCAGTCTCCGGGAGATAGAAGTACGTCCATAGTCCAGCGAAAGCATTGGTTGCAGCGAAGACGACAAAAATCCAGTAGTCGAGGTTGTTGAACAGGACGGGCGTGAGGAAGGTAATGGCGAAGTTGGCAAAGCCCCAAATGATGACGGAGATAGCGGTGCCTTGGGCGCGAGCGGTGGTCGGGAAGACCTCAGTGGGGAACAACCACACGGTTGAGAGCCAGCCGATTCCGAAAGCGCCGGTGGCGACGAACAAAATTACGGTTCCAATGATTCCGGGGACGATAATGGGAATGTTCATGGGCTCAGAGTTTGCTGCTAAGCCACCGAAAACACCGAGAAGTGCGAAAGAAGTGGCAAGGATGACAGAACTGTGAATCATAATCTTGCGTCGGCCCATAGCATCGATCAAGAGCCAAGCGAGCGTCATGAGGAAGAAGTAGGACACGTAGTTGCCAAGGGTGAGGTATTCAGAGTTGCGGACTGAGAAGCCTAGGAGCTGTTTTCACATGTTAGTATTGAGCCAAACCGCACCACTCTGATCATAGACACAACTTACCTCAAAGATCTGCGGCCCGTACACACTAACTGCACCGTAACCCGTAAGCGCCTGGTTGACCTGGCACATCACTGTGACCATAGTAGGATGGAACTGCTCGTGGCCGGGGGTGAGCATATCCATGTACCCAACCTTGATATCCTTCTCCTTCTCGTGCTGTTCAAGTAGCTCATCAAGCTTCTCCTTGCCCTCATCTCCATAGATGTCGTCCAATGCCTTCTTCGCATCCTCCTGGCGATCATGGAAGATGAACCAACGCGGTGATTCCGGAAGGCGTTCAACAAATGCCATCAACAGAACGGGGTAGACCTGCATGACAATGATAGGAACGCGCCACGCCCACTGATTTTGCTTTCCAAGGAGGATGGTAACAAGCAAATTGATACCAAAGGCCATTACGAGACCGAAGATGTTGGACTGGAATTCCTGGGCCAGCGCTTTGCCACGAGAGTCGTCGGCGCTCAACTCGGAGGAGTAGGTGGGAATGACTGCGTCGATTCCTCCAACGCCCAATCCCATCACCACGCGTCCAGCAAGCATAACGCCCAATGCGATCTCCGTGCTCTTTCCCAACATGCCCATTCCAGCCACGAACATGATCAGATTTCCCAGACTAGCTGTTGCCAGACTGGCAAAGATGCTCTTCTTCCTTCCCAACTTATCAGCGAGCATGGAGAAGAGCACAGCGCCGACAGCGCAGCCGAGGTAGTAAACCGCTACGATCACACCCACGACTGGTGACTCCTCCTGGAGGCCCATGGTGGATAGGTAGTCATAATTCGTGTTGATGAGGGACATCATTCCCTGGTCATACCCGTAGAGGGCAATGGCCGTGGCCGAGAAAATGACGACATTGGTTTGTTTGTCGGTGACGGCCTGTTTCGCATGTTCGACAATGAACGACATCGTGGCTGTTGCCTGGATACGAAGACGAAGCTCCGCGGAAGGTTAATCTGCGAAAGTAAAAGCTCGTAGAAGGTGCACAGCAGGAAGAAGAAGCTGAGGAGGGGAGGAAAGTCTAGATCTTCAATATCCTACAAGCCACAATCCGCGGTAGACGTTTGGCGCTACTGTGCATGTTTCTTGGTCAGCTGGAAGAGGGTTGTTTTTTAACGTATGACGAGTGTATGCAGGGACGCGATGTCGATCTGAGACTAGGTGCTGGGTGAGCCCCGCCAGTTTTCCAAGGGGTCTTTTGCTCGCGACGGGCTCCTGTCGGCTCTTTGCTCTCAAACTTCATTTCTTGATTAGACTTGATAGATAGACGCGTTTTCGCGTGCCTTTCCTATAGATACCATAAAAACATGTAGCGCACCATGCAGCTTGCAGCCAAACCGTTATTGTGCAGCTGCTAAGCTTCAGATCCGCGGCATAAGATCCTTAGCGCCACCAACCATTAGCGACGTCGCATTCGATCGATCGCATCCTTCTGCCTCACGACATCATCCTCGACTATTCGCTCACCGGGTCTCGAAAAGATCAGTCACCGCTTGTTCAGATATCCCATGCAACACAAGAGAAGGAACAAGGCATTGGAAGTGTCTCGTTCATTGTTATTTTCAGAAACGACGTCATGAAGAGTGGTTAGAGCCCTACTAGCGACTGCCATCTGCGCCTTGCATGCTTTTGGAGGAGTCGGCGTACCCACCAGGCGTATCCGTAAGGCCGCGCGCACCCATCGCTCTCATCTCACATCCTTCTACTCTGTTATCTCAGACTCCGCTCAAGCCTTTGCTGAAGCCTCAACCTCGAGAGTCGATGTGGAGGTCTGGGTGGCCTCCCAAGCTTCCCAAGCTTCGAATAAAGCTTGTTTTGGGACGCAGTGTGCAACACGACCGTCCGAAACGCACTTCCAACCCTTACCGCAGTCGGCAGACCACTGCCAGTAGGATCCAGACTGCTCGCAAGTGACAGTCCATTCCGTCTGAGTCACGTTCCTATAGGCGCAGTTGAACGCTCCAGGTGAGCAAGACATAGATGGAGCCAGCTCTGATGGGACTTGGAGAAGCTCGTCGCGGGCTCCAATGGTAGGCTTCGCATTCTGCCTGCAGTGGGCAGATTTCCTGTCAGCTGCTAGATCACAGGTCTGTCCCTGACCACAGTCGGATGACCACAGCCTGCAGAGGTAGAGGTACTAAGTCAGTATATGTCTCAAATAGACTTCGTAGATCCAGAACTTACCAGATTCCAGACGGAGAACAAGTGATTACCCAGCTCGTTCCTGTGGCAGAGTTGAAGGTGCAACCAAATGTTCCAGGCTCACAGGACTGAGATGGAGCGACATCCGATGGAACTTCCGATGGTTCATCACGAGCTGCAATTGCCGTATTCCACTCTGGTCCTGGGTTCCAGCAATGCGCGGCACCATTGGATAGCGCGAGACACTTCAAATCGCCACAGTTGGCAGATTGCACCCACTTGCCCCGGTAGTCGCAGGTCATGATCCAGGCGTCATCCGTTGATTCGTCGTTGTCGCAGGAATAGGTCCCAGGCATGCAAGAAGCCTCACGCTTGGCGGCTGCCAGATCCGTGTTCCACTCCGGTCCCGGGTTCCAGCAATGGGCGGCTCCATCGGATCGCTCGAGGCACTTCAAAGTACCGCAGTTCGACGAGTACTGCCACGCACCCTTGTAGTCGCAGGTCATGATCCAGGCACCCGTTGTCGCGGATTCCAGGCAGGTATAGGTTCCAGGCGAACAGGAAGGATCACGCTTGGCCAAAGCGTCCGACTCGACGACGGTGGGGGCCTGAAGACTTTTGTTAGCAATGTGCCATTGTGGGAGAGTAATGTAGTGGTCAAAGTGGAAGAAATCCGTGTCTCAGTCTGCAGTATGCATGCAACTAAATCTTAACAAGTACACACTTGCCAAGATGATGCACACTCCAACCTAGAAAGATCGGCGACACAAATTGTAGCCAACGGAGGTGAGATGGAAGCGAACTCGAGTCTGGAATTCAGATCTCTTCGAGCTCAGTGAGAATGCAGGAGAGTGCTTACATTGCCAGATGCGTCCTTGGACCGTGGAGGTGCCTCAGTGATGTCGGCGTCGTCGACGTCTCGGTCGAACATGTTGGGCTTCTTGCAGCAGTTGCACTTGTCGCGACACTTCCAGCCCCTCTTGCAGTAGTGGTCGGTTTGGCAGAAGCCATACTGGCAGACCAAGACACCAGTGCGATCCTTGGCGCACTCGTAGGTCTTCTTGTCCTCGATATGAACATCGGAATCGACGTCACGCTTCTCGGGTGCACCGGGCGAGCACTCAGCACCTCGCTCATTTGCGATGCATTTGACCAGGCAATACTCAATGGTAGCACAAGCGGCGTTGACAGGACAGGCGAGGATCCACTCGTCGTGGGTGCAGGAGTACCTGTAGCGATAAGATTACTGAATGTTCCCTGATCAACGATGGAGGTTACCTACTTGACTTCGTCATTGCTCAGGTGCATGGCTGAAGGGTCGCCAACAGCTCGATCCTCAACACTGGTATCAGTAGCTGAACCGGTACACCAAGCACCTTTGCTGTTGTCGGCGCACGCGAAGGAGCACGCCTCGACGAAAGAGCAGGTGCCCGAGCGGAGGCAAGAGAGGACATATTTGTCGCTGTCGCACTTGTATCTGTTGACAGTCAGTATACTACCCTCTAAGAATATCAGCGAAAGGCGAGGCGACTTACGTGTGAACATCATCGTTCTCGTACACAGAAGCCGCGGCAGCGGTGGTAGTCTCGACCGGCGAGGCAGCGACGAGCGCCACCAGCCCAGTGAGGGCGACAGTGATGAGCTTCATGGAAGCGTACTTGAAGGCACTGTCGTCGTAGTTGTGTGTGATATAGAGAGTGTGGAGGGGTTGATGGTGGAGAGGGGTGGTGGGGGAAGGTCATGGAAAGAGGAAGAGAAAGGTGGGCTTATATCAACGGAGCGAGGCGAAAGAGCAGGTGCAGGCGTTTGCTATCCCGCTAGGCAAAAGCTGTTGGGAGGCGATTCTCACGCTCAGGGTCCGACTTGCGGAGCGTGAGTGTTCGTTGGGTGCCCAGGTGGGGCCGTGGACTGGTGAGATTGGTGAGATAGTGAAGGTGGAAGGAGCGAAGTGCACGCAATCTGTGCTCTGCACCCATCGATCGAACCACCGCACTGATGAACGAGTGAAAAAGCCAAATGAAAATATGACCGGTCGGTATGTAGGAGTTGAAGCATTGGGTATTCTAGACAATAAAGACAATGCACGCGACGACATCCCAAGCAGCTTAGCATACGTCTACACCATTCAACGCAGAAGCACAATCAGGACCACCGAGTATTTACCTTACTACGGCAGTATGATGTATCCACTCTAGGTACCTTCTCACATTGCTGAACCCTACCGGGTAGCGTTGGTGCTCGCACGTCATAAGAGGCGAAGGTAGCTCATGTAGAGAAGCATGCCTCACGCAAATCAGGAACAAGACTGTAGCTTGAAGAAAAGGAAATGCTTTTGATTCATCATAAGGATGCAGCTAGACGTTCAAAATCTATCGGTGACGCAAATGCAGTCAATCATCCAGGCCTCTATTAAACGCCAAGCAATGCAAATCTGCATAGTCTAAGATATCATAATGCGATCGTAATCCGAAACAGTTGCAACAACATCTACTCGGCCTCGTCATCAGTGTTGGGTGGCTGAGGAGTACCCTAGTGAGATTGTTAGTAATCTGCATCGATGGGGGTGGAATGGAAAAAAACATACCTTGGGGCTGTTCAACCAGTCAATGTATCTCAATCTACGCCTGACCTCACGGTCCTTGAGCTCCTTCTTGGTCATCTTCTTCTTCTTCCTCGACCTGAACTTCATATCGTCCTTGTTGCCCTCGGCGTCACTCATGACCGGAGTACCGGTGGTGGACGGTGCGGCGGAGCTCACGTTGCTGCTAACATTGCTGGATCCAGGGCGCGAGTCCTCGAAACGGTCCATGTTGACGGCAAGGTGGCCCTTGTGTGTGACGCGACCGTCGGCGACGTGCCACTGCTCGGGGCAGAGAGCGCCGACGAATTCTTCGTTATGCGAGATCATGATCACACCACCCTTGTAGTCGCGGATGGCAACAGCAAGACCACCGAGAGAGTCGCGGTCCAAGAAGTTGGTGGGTTCGTCCAAGACGAGAAGATGAGGGTTGTTCCACATGGCACCGGCAAGCACGACCTTGACCTTCTGTCCTCCGGAAAGGCCAGAGATCTCGTTGTGGTTCGCAATCTCAGGGTCCATACCGAGATCCTCGAAATGCTTGGAAATGACCTTGGGCTCCAGGACACGGTAACCGAGACCCTCACGCGACGACTCGTGATCGTCGAACTCTTGGACAAGCTTGGAGAAGCCCTTCTCAAGAAGCGTCTCACGCGAGATCTGGGTGTTGTATTTGGGCAGCATGTGCAACCACTTGACCTCGTACTGGAAGGTCTTCTTGTACTTCGCACGACCAATGAGTGCCTCGATCCTACGGGGGCCTGAGCCGTCGCCTAGATCGATGGGAGTTTCCATCTGCTTCTTGTCTTCCTCGCTGAGCACACGTGTCTGCTTCATGAGCACCTCACGATCGTCACCGTTGGCGTAACGCCATTGGAGGTACTGGTTGGGAGTCTTCTCCATGTGCATCTCGACGTGCTCAAGAGCGTGCTGCTTGATGTAACCGATACGCAAGTTCGGGTGCTTCTCGACGGTACCTTCTTGAGGGACGGTCTCGCCAGTAAGCATCTTGATGAGCGTAGACTTACCAGCACCGTTGGCACCGATAATGGCGACTCGGGATGACAGTGACAAGTTGCAAGAAGCATCGGTGAGCGATGGCTTGGAAGCGCCAGGGTAGGTGTAGGAGCAGTTTGTCATGCGCAGGATGGAGCGAGTGTTCGACTTGACACCAGTGAGGATACCAGGGGGAGGGAACTTGAATTTGACCTGAGTATCCGAGAGCGTGTAGTAGCTCTTCGCTTCAGGCTTCTGTCGAACGAAATCAGCCAGGTTGCCCTTGTAGCAGACCAGCTTCTTTTGCTCGTAGTGGTAAATGTCGGTGCAGACTTCGTCGAGGAAACCAGAGTCGTGAGAAACGATCAAGCTAGTAATCTCAGTGTGGGACTTGAGGTACTTTCCGAGCCAAGCGACATTGGCAACATCCAGATGGTTAGTGGGCTCGTCAAGGAGGAGCACATCGGCGCGCATAAGCATAGCACGGGCCAAAGCGAGCTTCATCTTCCATCCTCCGGACAGAGAGCCGACCTTGGCGGATTGTCTGCCTTCGGGGCCAGCGGTGAAGCCGACCTCCTCGAGAACCTCGGAGATACGCTCGCGGCTCTCGTCCGCGAAGCGCGGGTCGCGAACGATGTACTCAAGAATGGAGAGATCAGCGTCTTCTCCCTGGTTGTGCTCGACGAAGCATGTCTTGACTTCGTCTTGAGAAGGGAAACCTTCCAGCTTGCCGCTTGCGATACTGCGCATGAGGGTAGACTTTCCAGCACCGTTGCGACCGCAAAGACCGTAGCGGTGACCCTTGAGCAGGCGAAGGTTGGTGTGCGAGAGGAGCAACATGCCACCGTATCCTAGGGAGAAGACAGCGTTGACGATCTCCGTCTCTCCGTCATCCTCCTTGACGGGCTGGCCGAACTTGCGGTGGTCCTCGTCCACGTAGAACTGGTGCACGGCCTCTGCGACCTTGTCGGCGTCCCCGGCGTTGAGCAAAGGCTCCAAGTAGGGGCCAACGAGCTTTGGCAGGCGCTGAAGCTCGCGCTGATCAACAACCTCAGCAATCATCTCGGAGATGTACCTCTTGGTGATAGCCAATACCTCTGCGTCTCCGGGGAAGTCAAGGAGGTTGGCAGAAGCGGTGATCTGCTTCTCGATGACCTTCTGAACATCCGATGGTTGTGTCCTCGCGATGGCGCCGCTGTCGATGTTGTGGTCTGGGTCGGCCATGGCCTTCTCGATAACGTCGAGCGCACGCTGGCCGATCTCTCGGACTTCAGGAAGTGAAGCGCGGTCCTTGACGGACTGCACACCTGGGCGAAGCTTGGGCAAAAAGGCGCGGGCCTCGATAGGGTCGTGAACGAGCTTGGTCAAGTTCTCGACTACGACGACAGTCTGACGGGTAACCTCCTGAGATGTGGAAGGCATGTTCAGAGAGCGCTCAAGCAGAGGTGTGACCATAGCAAGGACGGGTGATGTGACAATAGCGACGAAGGTGGTCTGGGAGAGAGCGTGGATGGCCTTCTGCAGACTTGTTGTGGAGGGGTCTTCGATGGCCTTGACGAGGAGGGGTATCCGGGGCGCGATATCGTCGTTCTGGAGGAGGGTGGTAAGGCTGTTCATCGTCTTGACAGACTGCTTTGCGACCTGCTCGTGGTTAGTACAGTGGCTGTAGAATAGCGGATGGGGGACCTTACCTCATTCTTGAGATCGTGCATGCCGGCCTCGACGATAGGGATGAGACCCTCGAGCTTCTTGCCCATGGACTCGCGGAGGACATCCTTCTCCTTCTCGACCTCGAGGCTCTCCATGCCCATCTTGGCCTTGTCGGCCATGCGGCCGATGAGTTCGTAGGCGAAAGCAGCACCCTGCCACTTTCCGGACTTCTTGCCCAGGTACTTGGTCAGCACAGGCAAGAGGCCGAAGACCTTGGCCTCAGCGCTGAGGTTCTCGAACAGCGAGTCGAGAGCGTACTTGGCCGACTCCTTGACGGAGCCAGTCTTGTCTGCCAGCAGGTCAAGGACCATGGGTACCAGCCCTTCGTTCTGGACGAGGAAGATGGCCTCTGTCAGGCGTTGTGTGCGCGGGAGGCGCTCGAAGAAGGCACCGAGAGCGTTCATGGCGCCCTCTCTCCGCACGGCGTCCTTCTTGTTGGCCGCCGATTTCTTGATCTCCTCGAGTATTCCATAGCCAGTGAGGCCGCGGAAGCCTACTGAGTTCTGGAGGAGGGTGGTGAGGGCGTAGGCGGCGTCGACCGAGGCGTGCGACGTCTTTGCGGTGACGATGCTGCTGATGAAGGCGTTGACATCCTCCTGCGAGGGCGCAGGGGCTGCGCTGGCCTTGTCGACGACAATAGCGGGAGCCATAGGCGGCGACTCAGAGTGCGGCATCTGCGAGAGAAGCCGGTAGGGGTGAGTGGTGCTGCGCTGTGAATCTGCGACGAGCGATTTCTTTTTGGTGGAGGGGCTTATCGATACGGTCTGGAATTATTCGCGGCGGCTCAAGCGTAAGCGGTGCCCAACAGCGCGAGAGGGTGAAAACCCCGGGTATCAAGCGTGGATGTAGAGACGCCCCAACGGAAGAGTGGAGAGTCTATACAATACAGGAAAACTGAAAAAGCGAGGGCAGATAGACGGAAGGGAGCGTGGAGGGGCGGCTTGTATATACGCGCGCTGGCTGCACTAAAATTGTTCAGATTCTGATTATTCCACCCACGGGTCTGCATGGTTTTCGCCCGCCCTAGTCCCCTTCGGCTCCCTGCATTCCTGATGTTCGCCGGATATACCTTCCTGCGCCCACACCGTATCTCTGCTTACCAGAGCACATGCCTAATTGGCTCACGCTGAAACATGGTAAAGGAAACTTGTCGACGCGACTCTGATGCGACAAACTCAAAAGCCCGAGAGGCTTCGAAACCTGGCTTGCGGTGTCGCACGCGTCTCGCCCAGTTACAACTGGACCCTGATGCCCGAGCATTATATGCGTGTTCGTACTTCCAGACTCCTTGCCTCTCGTCGCACCCGTCACTTGTACCACAATCTCGTCTTTGAATACCCCAGAACACTGTCTGCAGAACTACTGCCGGAACAGCGTAAGGCACGCAAACACTAACGGCGTTAGCGCGCAGAAGTCTCAACAAAAGGATTGAGCGACTTACTAACAAAGTACCTGTAGCCGATGCTAGCAACGATAACTGCCGCAGGTACACAAGACCCTATCCACGAAACGAGGCATTGTATATGCTATCTCGACATCAAAGACCGCATGTTGGTAAGCAGAGGCTCAGCGCTGCACATGGCTGTGAGCTGGAATAAATTCATATGTGGTCAGCTGAACATACATATGCGGCAGGGAAATGTCGCAGCTTATGTGCCATTCCACAGGTGTCTTGCACTCCAAAAATCACCAAGATTTAGACGTGCCAGGCCAGACTATAGCCAGAGCACCACTCTATTCAGGTGATTTGATGTATCTCTATCCACCTGCAAATGGTGATGCCGCCTTACCTACAGTCGTCTAGGCATGCCCAGGCGTGAATAACTCCGCAAGGCTAGATTGGGTCACGCAATGAGTGAGTACCAGAGGACGTCAATCACGCTCGTAGCATTGGGAACGGCTAGGGAAAGCACGCCATTGTGACTTTCTGTTCATGAAACGAAGCTTTGGGCTCTTCGAGCATGAGCTTCTTGTCGCAGCAAACTTCATGCGCTATGGCATTGAACATGCTACTCTACGAGTATACCAAGGCCGCTTAGAGACTATCTATACTATGTTTTGTGCTTGGATTATACTACCATTTCATGCTCTGAAGAATTGAAAGAGCTCATACAATGTTCCTTGGGAGTGCTGGATGCTGAAACCATGTATTACATGTTATAGCGAGCGCGTAACAGGCTTGATATCAACGACCACGGTACTGCGGTGAAGTATCCAACAGCACTCCAGCGAACCGCCTCAAAGCTATCACAATCATCTCGCAGACCAAGGCACAAATTTCATAACCCGCCCAAACCAAGCCAAGAGTCTAGCGAAAGTCAAAGGCGCATCCTCTTCTTCGTTGATACTAGGCGCTAGACGGGTGGCGACACACGCCCAGGCCGAGGTGAAAATCGAGACCGTCCAAGCTATGGCCGATTGCACAGATACTAACAGGTAATATGTGTCTGGAGGAGTCTACTCAATCCCTTCGACAGTGAACAAGTGCCTAGATGAGGCTTGCGACCATATGACGATGCAGACCCGAAGGTGCCCTCCAGGGCTGGCACCCATCCAAGGGAAGAAGTGGACAGCTACCTCCACGAAGTAAATCTAGAAGAAAAAAAGCTAACAAGACTACATTGCCTTAACATCTGCTAAAACTCGTGTCTTTGTTCTGATAGAGACTTTGGCGCACCTGTTCAGCTTTTCCTTTGTCTGAGGTGCTGCAGGGTAAGAGACGCGTCACGTGGCGACGACGCGACAGAAAAGGACGCTAGTGGTCAACTTCCGCGCAATCGCGTCATCGTCCCTGCGCGCCTACTCTGCAACACAGCAACCACCTCAAGAGTGTTTGCACCTCCCAACTTAGCTCAACGCGCTTCCGCTCAAGATCGCGGAATCTATCCACGCCATCTACGATAAGCCTTACTCCAGGGGTCACGTCTCGCAACAGTTCACAGAAGCCTAGCATTAATACATGCGCGTGTCTTACGCGTTGCGCTCGCTCATTATCTCCAAGGGAAGATGTTCTCATCTCATTCGCAGCTTCTACTCAATGTAGGAGGTTACATACGGTATCGCGATCGCCTGCGTGGAAGCCACACTTCTGATGAATATTACGCAAGAGCATTTCAACGATCGGAAAGTACTTGAAAGACACTCCGGATGGCTACCAAAGCATTTCCGGTGGCATTTGGAACATTCACCGCATGCGCTTCTGTGGCTGACGTCTTCCTATCATGAGTCGAGGTGGCTACAATGCGAATCTCAGGGATTTGCGTCACCCTATCATCAGTCGTGACAGCTACAGGGCCGCCCATGGACACAGGTTTGTTCTTTCCTAACATCACCGTCAGCGGCAGTGGCAGTGGCATACGTACATGAGGCATCTGCTCACAAGCTCGGGTCATGTTTACTACCATCCCCAGCTGGCTCTTACACTCTGCATTCCCATCAATCCATTGTCAACATCGTTACTCCAGCACAACATCGTCCCACACTTCCACCATTGTTAGCATATCGCCCGTTACGGTTTCCAATTACCCACTTCGATCGTTCTCGACGTCTCACTTGATACCGAATTCTCTAGCACTACGATAGTCAACAACAATGGAGAACACATGGGGCATGCAGCCTGCACCATCGGGAATGAACTTCTCAGCCGCTCCAGCAGCTGCCATGTGGTGGGATACTTGCCCCATCGGCGCGCAACAATTCCGGGGATCAACCAACGAGACACCTCCCACCCAGACTCACGAGCCCCTCGTCGATGTGCTTGAGGAAATCGGAATTGGATCCACAAACGGTTCCCATACAATTCTAGACATCAAAGCCTTCAGAGATTCAATTGGAGACCGACCAATATTCAATCGCTCGGTAATGCTTGATGCCGCAAATCAACTTACTGCAGCTCGCTATGGTCGAGACGTCACACTGACAAACTACCGTGGTGAGAGGCGGGTTCGCTCAGCGCAACGTCTACTTCTACCAAAGTATGTTTGATAAACTCGTACACATCAGATCTCCTACCTCTGATTCTGACGTGTCGACAGTCAAATACCTGTCTTGCTATACGCCGGAATACATCATCTTGTCGATCAGTGGCAAGACGACCGCATAAACAACGACGACATAAGCCCGATCTTGATCGATTCTGGTCAAAGGGTAGAAGAACTTGGCGATGTTAACGACTTCAGCCAACTGATGGCTATGCTGGATTTATCCAAAAGACTCTGGCGCAAGAGTCACCTTCGCTCTCACTTGCTCGACAGCGTGCAAAAGCTCAAGCACACGGCTCGAATCTCCAACATCGTCTGCATAGGCCTAGGAACGTTGCACACCTTAGACCCAAACAAGAACAACCCGATAATACAACACGTCGTTGCCTCTGCTCTCGCTCAATATCTAACACGAATGTACGAAGCAGAAGGCATGCCGCTCGAGAAGCCCATCAGGATCATTGCGCAAGACCCCGCTTACACCCTCCGCGATCGCCAGATTCTTTCTAAGTTGCCTGTACCGATCGAGGTAGTAACCGATCCTGAAGGTTTCTTGGCCATCAACGAATCTTCGCTTGTATACTCAGCCTTCGCGATGGTTCCAGTCAAACAGATAGTTGCTGATCTTGCAGCCGCCACACCAGATGGCAAAGGTCCTGCCGCTCTATTCGTCAACAATGACTTCAGGGACAAGATTCACGGCAACGTCGACCGTGCCGTGTACGACCGAGATCAACCGGGGCGCTTGGCAAACCCGGAGACGAAGCGTTATCTGACGATGCTCGGGTCTTACACGCGGGTCATGGATGGGCAAAAGCTGAAAGGGATGTTCTATCTCCGTACGTTCCCTACGGGTGGTTACAACTGGTTCACGGGTATGGATATATGGGCACGAGGAGAGTAGTCTGACGTTGCGGCTATGTGCGCAGAACGGAAATACGCACAACAATCAGGTATGAGCGGGTGTTATTATCCATGTCAAGGGTCTCATGTTAGCTCCAATTGACACATCTCGTTGTATTCCTATGTTCAGTCTCCACATTTGTGCATGATAACGTGCATCACGCTCCCCTCTCCTTCTCCTGACCCGAGCCGGACGGCTCGCCAGTACTATGTACGCATACCACCGGATGTTTACATCAGTTTCTTCACTTTGCTCTCGAGGCTAGCGTGCTACTTCTCCGCATTTGGAGCGACCGACAGGTAATGCCTCGATGCAACTTGTGCATACCCATCAGACAGCCAAGGCATAGAGCCATACGTACCTCACCAGTTGCGTGCGATCGCATAGAAAGATCAAACGATTGTGGATAGTTGTGATACTCACTCAATCTATATGACAATCGAGATCGAAGAGTTGGCGATGCATCTGACAAAATCGATATCACACTCTCACTGAAAGGAAATTTCCACACATACCAATGCAGTCATATTAGGCTGATACATCCAGATTCTATTAATATGTATCGCCGTAATATTCGGTCTCATGAGAATGACACTGGCTACCAAAGACGTATACGTGGCGGAAGACATGTCGTCCAGAATTCTCGCTACATCGTTTGTCTTTAGGTAGCCATATCAGTAGCGCAAAATATACAACCCAATATGACATCATGTCACAGTGATTATCTTCCCTCTTTTACCTCTGCTAATGCACATAGAATGGCACTGCTCGCGTTACATCAGGGATATCACCGGATCGTAAATCCTAGATTTTTAAGTAGAACGCCGACACAACAACAGTGTATGATGATCATGATCCAAAGTCGATTACTTGCTAACATGGCGGATAAACCACAGCAGATATTGTTGGAAACGACATTCAAAATTGCAAGTGAATAGAGAAAGGTGAATATAGATGAAGTAACGCACGTATGGTAATGGGAAGCTTGAGGGAATACGAAGATAGCGATGTCTCAGCGATTCCTGGAGGTAACGCGGGAGTCACTAATATGGTGGTTTATCTTCTGATATGCAGCCTTTTGTTTATATGGTCTCCTTGTAATCTATGGGATTGGTTGCAATATCGAATGCTGACGCCGTCTCCTTTGAACTGCCTGACTTTTCATACTTAGCATAAGGTATCAAGCGATGATGTACCGGAAGCCGCGAATCTGACCCGGGCGACTTCACATTGACGTATCGACTGCGGAGTATTTCGCGTAGGCAACACCTCACACAGTCAAGACCCGCCATTCGTATACGGCACAATACACCGCACGGGCATCGACACAGCCATACACCAGCCCTTCACCCGAGCCACACACTGCCTTCCCAGCCGTCACTACCACGTCACCACCCTCCATCCCGACCAACCCTCTGCAAACGCCAGCCCCATCTTTGTACCCACGCGATCAGCTCAGATCATAGATCCGCGCTAAGCCCGCATCGCATCACCTTGCGACTGTCAAGAATCCTTCGCTTACCCTTGACAGCTCATTCTAACAACACACCGTCGCTTTCACTAACAAAATGCAGGCAGACTCATTGGCCGGTGGCAGAAATGAACGCAGGGAAAATCGACGATGAGGAGACGAATAACGAGCAGGCCAGACAGAGAAAGCAGTCCTCGCTTGCGGCTTTAGTGTATGGGTAGCTTGCATTCGTAGGTGCATAAAGGCGCGCGTGAGCGACTGAGCGAGATGAGTATATGGTACGGTGTACACCTAAGCGATTCGCCAGACAAACGAAAAGGTTGAGGTGAAGCGAATGTACAGCGTACATATAAGGCGCGGCATTATTCCACGGAGACCCTTCCATCCGGCGTCACTGTACTGTAGAGCTTGGTGCACAGAATGGCACACGTCATACGAGCGTGGAGAGAGCAGCAGTGCAGAAGGGGCGGATCAACGGCGCATATGCGGAGAGAAAAGAAGAACCGCTGCCGGAACCAAGTTAGTAGTTAGTAGACTGGGGGCCTGCCATTATGACCCAAGCCTTTTGGCGAATTGGCGGGATATACGAGGTAAGAGATGCAGATGATAAGATTACCCTGGTATAGAGCGAGGGTGCGTGATGTGATGGGGGAAGGGAAGGGAGGGATGGGATTGCGGCGGCTCCGAGCTCGGGTAAGCTGGGGTGGCTGGCTGGGCTGCAGGATGTGTGCGGGAGTGCAATGAGTTATGCGTGCGTGCTCTTACTTCTACCAGGGGTGTGGTTTTCCCACGAATGACGTAGAAGGATTGCAGTGGCAGGTATATTGCTTGCCTTGCATTTCTGGTACAGTAACCAAGACCCCTTCCTCGTGTTCCGACCAAGATGTTGTTCCAGTATGATGTCGGTCACGTATCGGAAAGTGGGGGCTTCGGAGTGTCTTGATCTGGGACCTTGGTGATAGACGTTGTGGGCCCGTTCATGTCGTCATACTTGCCTCCGTTGCGGCATATCAAGTTTGGAGCACGCAGGCTGGCAGATCCCGCACTGGGTTCGGGTATCGACATGATCCAAGAAAGAAGCTAAACAGATATTGCGATGTACGTTACATCTCGTTCAACTTAGGCCCGCATACCACCCCCTTCCTTCGGCTGCAGGTAAACGTCGTCGGCGAAGTACCAATGTATCTGCGACGGTTTTCACGCACGGCACAGCAACTTACTGCATTGCTTGCGGAGCAGATCGTATCGCATGCATGCAGTCTGGCAGAGAAAAATAAAACCCATATTCCTGAGCGATCGAGATTGCACGGAGCTTACCAACATGGGGTAGGTCAAAGGAAGCAAGGACAAAGACCCATGCTATGATCCTCAGGCTGCATAAGCCCGACCGGTATTACATGGCCACCACACGTAAAAGCCCTTACCCGGAGTTGATGGAGATTAGGTTTAGATAGAGTGATGTCCACGTACACATTTGACTTGGGCGGTGCGGCTCCCGACAGCCAGGTCGATAAACGTGGATCTGCTGACAGTTTCACGTTGTTAAAGGACCGACAGACCGTGACAGTGATCTTGTGCCCCACCCTTGCTCACGGCAGTGTCGTTTGCTGCGCGCTGTTCGGCGATATGCAATGCAACACACCCAATATTCAGTTGCAGCAGTAGCTTCGGAGTATACTGTTGCAGCTGCATACACTGAAGCGCCTCGCAGTAATAACAGGGTCACTGGGTCATCAAACTGCGAAGCCTTTCGCGACCTTTTCGTCTTTGTCGCGGGGCCCGACATCCAAAACCCCGGCGCGGTTATGCCCTTACGTGTGATGACCTTTGCAGATTGGGATGTAGCGGGTGGGCTTCCGAATGCGAGATATGCGCGGGTGCCGACACACGAACTCGATCTCAGACGGACAGGCTGATCCGTAATCATTGGAAAGCACTTGGGATCTGCCCGCGGGACCGGGTCTCACGTGTGCTAGTCATTAGAAGCCGAAGTTCAAACGGAGATCGTGGGTTCGTGATTGACGTGTCGTGGGCCCCTCGGGCTAATCTTGCGGTGCATCCTTCGACTCCTTCACATCGTCGATGGGCTGCGCATTCGTGTCCCGCAGAGAGCTTCCTTCGGATAGACGTTGCGGAAAAAACAACATCAACGGTCACTAACGGCTTAGGCCACTGCTTCAGCATAATACCAGGTCTAGAGTCCAGCGCATTGACAGCGGCAAACTGGTGAGCTTGGTCCTGCGTTCATTATGCACCTGTGAATCGACCGCCGTGTGAACAAAACTCTCCTTGAGTACCCCCTGGCGCTATAATTGCGGATCATGTTGAGCATAGATCGGCGCCGATCGCGACTATGTGATCCTTCTGGAGCACTGCGAAGGGAGGAAGATTCCCAGTGGTGGAAATCATGTGGCGGGATACAGGCCGTATGCGGATGTCGGACCACTTTTCAGAAGCAAGCCTTGTGCTGCCGCGGGAGACTCTCAGCAGGTCACGTATTGACTCCTCACCCCGTCGCATTGCTGGCTTGAATAAGGAAGAAACGGGGTAACACTAGATGCGACTCCTCGAGATCTGACACTTGGAGTAGACCGGATACGGTGAGCAAGGCCGTGAGCGTGTAGCAGTAGCAGCGATCTCATGGTATCGCCGGTAGCGTTGTGATGGCGCCGACCAAACGATACTAACGTCCTGTCACGCAACGTTCACGAATAAACTCGCTGAGCGTCAGCCACGCGGAGGAGGGTGCGCTAACGATTTCTGCAATGACAGGGGAGTGAGGCAGGCCGACGCGGACGTTGGTGGGTCAGGCCGAGTCACTTGAACAGGGGCCTAGAAAAAGAAGCCTCAGGTATCCAGTCATGTCTGGAAGATATCGCTTTTCCACAATTTGAATCCACTATCGAGTATCGGCGGCCGCTGATACGCAACTGGTCCGGCTCGAAGGTTACATGAGCTTCACATTGCGAGCTCCACATGCCTTGTTTGATGTGGTCGTGCTTTTGCAGAGCCAGAGATGGTTAGCTGGTGAATGGCTTGAATGTCTTGCAGAAGTGGATCTCGAAGTTGAACGGCTGAAACAGCGGCACTGGACATATGGTTCCCCATACTGAATCAGCTTCTCCGTCTTCTGACGAGGGTCATTCTGACGAGGCAGGCATATCCGCGGCAGGTACCGCCGCAGCCATGAATGGAAGTCGTACCGAACACCTTGCTTATGGGGATTCATCGGCGGCGATGTGCATAGCATACGAATGGACGGTTAGATCGAAGGCGAAATAGAATTCACCCGTGATCCGGCAAAGACGGCATTGGTTGGCAGCCCCTCTGATCCGGCTGATCTGACACTTGGCCGCACGATATCCTGGTGAATCTCACTGTCAGCCGAGCCCACCTCGACGCGGTGATCAGGAATGATCTACGCGGTCCCTTGTCGTGGCGCAATGGATCCGGAAAACATGCTCAAAACGGTGGGAAGGGAACAGGGTGCGAGACACACAACTGGGCCGCTCATTTTCGCCGTCGACTC